AATGCACTTTCTAGTTCTATTTTATTCTTCCGTACGTTTTTTGAAAGCCTACTCCTTCAAAACCGTTCAACTTAGAAAAACCATTCAAACATCGTTAGATTCCTATTATTTTGGACATGACTGCTTCTATTTTTCTCATTTTTAACATTTATATTTTTAATTTTATTCAACTTTATTCAACAAAAATTTCCCATGTATTTCAATGGGGAGACCCTTCAAATCCTCATTCAACTTACTCATTTTTAAACTCTTACTACTTCCACATACATTGACATAAAGCCACCATTCAAACTTTAAAACGAAGACAAGACATTCAACTATTCAACTTGTATTTATCTTTTCAATATCTATTATACTTTTTCTTCAGTTCCAGTTTAAGTTTCATGATGTTTTTTCACCCGTTTCAAAATTTATAATGGGTGTGTATGGGACGGAATGTTGGGGCTAGAGTGAGACAGCTCAACTGCTAGAGTGAGAGGAGCAAAAAAATTAATCTTAAAATCTTTTTTAAAACTGCTGCTGTGTCCGCAGCGTTTGCTCTACAGGTATGATTTTACCCTCAAAACGTAGCCATGGCTGTCCTCTTTCATCCAATGTGTTTACTATTGTACTAGGTGTTATGGTTCTTTCATAAATGTCACCAATGCACAGCCTCCTCCCTCCAACTCTTCCATAGACTCTAATGTTAAAATGGCTCAGAAGGTTCGTTTGAAAATCAGAAGAGCATGGTGTCTTTCCACTGTCACCACGTCCATATAATAAACTCCACAGGCATGAAAACTGAGAATTCAGTAGACTAGAAGCTGCTGTCGCTCACGGTGAAAGAATTTTGTCAATACGACTTTTACTTTTCATTTGGGAACGATTTGTTTCGGCCTGACTTTTCTGTTCATTTTAAGCAGCAAAAGTGAGGTGCATGTCTGTGTACGTGTGTATGGAGCCATTGGGTGCGGTCACTATAGCAACCAGGCTCACACCTGCCTGCTTAACGAGCTCTGCCTGCCACTGTACCAAGATTCATCTTAAGCACTTCTCTTTCAACTGCTGCTGTGTCCACAGTGTTACAGCCATCATTTTACCCTCAAATTGTCGCCATTATTGTTCTCTTTCCAACACCGTATCTTTCAAAGCTCAGGCATTTAAACTTTTTAAACTGTGTGGATCAAAGTGGAGGGATCACATTTGAGTCATTCAGTGATTCAAAGAATATGATCTTTTAATATTCATTCAGATGTTTTCTGACTCTAAATGTTCTTTTCTCATTTCTTAGGGTTTCTAATTTACATTTAAAACATTTTCAGTTTTTTTCCAACTCCTTCTTCTGTGTAACCTTCAGCTTTTAGCAGTTCAGCACCTTTGTTTTCAGGTTAAATTCGGTTTTTTTTGTTGTTGTTTTTTATCTCATTCAATATTTTTAACTCAAAATTCAGCAATTAATTCATTTCAGTGCATACATTCAGATTCAAGCATTCACACTGCAGTTTCTTCAGAAAATGCACTTTCTAGTTCTATTTTATTCTTCCGTACGTTTTTTGAAAGCCTACTCCTTCAAAACCGTTCAACTTAGAAAAACCATTCAAACATCGTTAGATTCCTATTATTTTGGACATGACTGCTTCTATTTTTCTCATTTTTAACATTTATATTTTTAATTTTATTCAACTTTATTCAACAAAAATTTCCCATGTATTTCAATGGGGAGACCCTTCAAATTCTCATTCAACTTCCTCATTTTTAAACTCTTACTACTTCCACATACATTGACATAGAGCCACCATTCAAACTTTAAAACGAAGACAAGACATTCAACTATTCAACTTGTATTTATCTTTTCAATATCTATTATACTTTTTCTTCAGTTCCAGTTTAAGTTTCATGATGTTTTTTCACCCGTTTCAAAATTTATAATGGGTGTGTATGGGACGGAATGTTGGGGCTAGAGTGAGACAGCTCAACTGCTAGAGTGAGAGGAGCAAAAAAATTAATCTTAAAATCTTTTTTAAAACTGCTGCTGTGTCCGCAGCGTTTGCTCTACAGGTATGATTTTACCCTCAAAACGTAGCCATGGCTGTCCTCTTTCATCCAATGTGTTTACTATTGTACTAGGTGTTATGGTTCTTTCATAAATGTCACCAATGCACAGCCTCCTCCCTCCAACTCTTCCATAGACTCTAATGTTAAAATGGCTCAGAAGGTTCGTTTGAAAATCAGAAGAGCATGGTGTCTTTCCACTGTCACCACGTCCATATAATAAGCTCCACAGGCATGAAAACTGAGAATTCAGTAGACTAGAAGCTGCTGTCGCTCACGGTGAAAGAATTTTGTCAATACGACTTTTACTTTTCATTTGGGAACGATTTGTTTCGGCCTGACTTTTCTGTTCATTTTAAGCAGCAAAAGTGAGGTGCATGTCTGTGTACGTGTGTATGGAGCCATTGGGTGCAGTCACTATAGCAACCAGGCTCACACCTGCCTGCTTAACGAGCTCTGCCTGCCACTGTACCAAGATTCATCTTAAGCACTTCTCTTTCAACTGCTGCTGTGTCCACAGTGTTACAGCCATCATTTTACCCTCAAATTGTCGCCATTATTGTTCTCTTTCCAACACCGTATCTTTCAAAGCTCAGGCATTTAAACTTTTTAAACTGTGTGGATCAAAGTAGAGGGATCACATTTTAGTCATTCAGTGATTCAAAGAATATAATCTTTTAATATTCATTCAGATGTTTTCTGACTCTAAATGTTCTTTTCTCATTTCTTAGGGTTTTCTAATTTACATTTAAAACATTTTCAGTTTTTTCCAACTCCTTCTTCTGTGTAACCTTCAGCTTTTAGCAGTTCAGCACCTTTGTTTTCAGGTTAAATTCGGTTTTTTTTGTTGTTGTTTTTTTATCTCATTCAATATTTTTAACTCAAAATTCAGCAATTAATTCATTTCAGTGCATACATTCAGATTCAAGCATTCACACTGCAGTTTCTTCAGAAAATGCACTTTCTAGTTATTATTATTATTATATTTTATTCTGTATTCCGTACGTTTTTTGTAATCCTACTCCTTCAAAACCGTTCAACTTAGAAAAACCATTCCAACACCGTTAGATTCCTATTCTTTTGGACAACACTGCTTCCATTTTTCATATTTTTAACATTTATATTTTTAATTTTATTCAACTTTATTCAACAAAAATTTATAATGTATTTCAATGGGGAGACCCTTCAAATCCTCATTCAACTTACTCATTTTTAAACTCTTACTACTTCCACATACATTGACATAGAGCCACCATTCAAACTTTAAAACGAAGACAAGACATTCAACTATTCAACTTGCATTTATCTTTTCAATATCTATTATACTTTTTCTTCAGTTCCAGTTTAAGTTTCATGATGTTTTTTCACCCGTTTCAGAGTTTATAATGGGTGTGTATGGGACGGAATGTTGGGGCTAGAGTGAGGCAGCTCAACTGCTAGAGTGAGAGGAGCAAAAAAAATAATCTTAAAATCTTTTTTAAAACTGCTGCTGTGTCCGCAGCGTTTGCTCTACAGGTATGATTTTACCCTCAAAACGTAGCCATCGCTGTCCTCTTTCATCCAATGTGTTTACTATTGTACTAGGTGTTATGGTTCTTTCATAAATGTCACCAATGCACAGCCTCCTCCCTCCAACTCTTCCATAGACTCTAATGTTAAAATGGCTCAGAAGGTTCGTTTGAAAATCAGAAGAGCATGGTGTCTTTCCACTGTCACCACGTCCATATAATAAACTCCACAGACATGAAAACTGAGAATTTGGTAGACTAGACATTGCTGTCGCTCACAGTGAAAGAATTTTGTCAATACGACTTTTACTTTTCATTTGGGAACGATTTGTTTCGGCCTGACTTTTCTGTTCATTTTAAGCAGCAAAAGTGAGGCGCATGTCTGTGTACGTGTGTATGGAGCCATTGGGTGCGGTCACTATAGCAACCAGGCTCACACCTGCCTGCTTAACGAGCTCTGCCTGCCACTGTGCCAAGATTCATATTAAACACTTCTCTTTCAACTGCTGCTGTGTCCACAGTGTTAAAGCCATCATTTTACCCTCAAAACGTCGCCATCGTTGTTCTTTTTCCAACATCTTGTCTTTCAAAGCTCAGAGATGTAAACTTTTTAAACTGTGTGGGTCCAAGTGGAGGGATCACATTTTAGTCATTCAGTTATTCAAAGAATATGACCTTTTAATAGTATTTCATATGTTTTCTGACTCTAAAAGTTCTTTTCTCATTTCTTAGGTTTTTCTAATTTACAATTAAAACATTTTCAGCTTTTTTCCAACTTCTTCTTCTGTGTAACCTTCAGCTTTTAGCAGTTCAGCACTTTTGTTTTCAGGTTAAATTCGGGATTTTTTTTTTTTATCTCATTCAAGATTTTTAACTTAAATTCAGTAATTAATTCATTTCAGTGCATACATTCAGATTCAAGCATTCACACTGCAGTTTCTTCAGAAAATGCACTTTCTAGTTGTAATATTAATTGGATTTTTTTTTTGTTACTTTATTAGACAAGATTTTTATAAAGATGTTGTCAGTCATTTGTTTACTAGAGATGGGAAGGTCTCTGCTTCCCAGATAGACTGAGCAGAATGTCTGGAAAGCTTTCAAACACGTCATGGTCTTGTTGTAGCAGCGCGGCCATCTCTTCCACCCCGCTGGAACAAAAAGCTGCTGTCTGTGTTCCGCCTCACAGCACATAAATCACTTCTTTTCTACAAGCAGCTTCCTCTCATTTTATCACTGCTGCTGCTTGGAAGCACTGATTTGCTGCTTTCAAATGCATTTGTAGTCACTTTATAGAACTTTGTGCTGATACAAGTCACATTTGCAAGATGGGAGCAGTTAATGAGATGTTAAAATTATTCACTTAAATTTCATTTTGGAATCTTAGAGTTAAAATTTTATCTAGAGGACAAAAATTATCCTTCAGTATTTAAGGTGTGACCTGTTCTTTTTTTTTTTTGTCAGGATTTGATTCTTGAAATTAATGAGCTGCGGTACAGACTGACTGAACTGGAGACTGAAAAACTACAGTATGAAAAGAAACTTAAATCCACTAAGGTGAGTCATCCCAGAGCACTTTACTGGCTGTTTATGTATCTTAAAGACTAGTTTTACCCTTTTTTTTTTTTTTTTTTTAAACAGCCAAAATCCACCATTCTGTTTAAAGTCAATACTTAACGGCTGTTCTTTTGTTCTTTTATGCCCTTTAAAAAATATATAATATCTGTACATCTCTTGTTACCTGGATAAAGTTATTCATGCAACCATTTCAGCTGCTATTTGTATAGTATTATGCTGTAGTCACAGTAGGGAAAGCAGTGGTTTGAGACCACAGCACAGCCAGAATTTTTGCAACTATGCAATGAGCTTGGGATCTTGTTGCCTTGGAAATGGTTCCTTTGCAGATGTGGACGAGGACTGTAATCAGTCACAGTCAGTTGGCATTTGCAGAGCGGCTTTGATGGATCAAAATGGTGATAATACAGTGTCGGTTTTAAATTGAAATGAGGTTGAGTTGGCATTTACAACCCCAATTCCTAAAAAGTTCAGATGCTGTGTAAAATCTGAAGGGGAGGGGGGAAACTGAATGCAATCTATTCATCCATCTATATGTTTTCTTTCGTTTATCCGGGGCTCTGTTACACTATTGGAGCAGCAGCCTAAGCAGAGAAGCCCAGACCTCCCTCTCCCTGGCTAACTCCTCCAGCCTTTTCAGGGAAATACCAAGGTGTTGCCAGGCCAGCTGAGAGATATGTCTCCAGCATGTCCTGCATCTGCCCTGGGACCTCCTCCAGGTGGCGGATGGCTCACCCAGGAGGCGCCCAAGAGAGATCCTAGTAAGATGCCCAAGCCACCTCAACTGGCTCCTTTCAACATGGAGGCGCAGCGGCTCTAATCTAAGTGTCTCCCGGATGGCTGAACTCCTCACCTTATCTCTAAGAAGAGGCCAGCCACTCAGTAAAAGCTAATTTTTCTGCCCCTTGTATCTGCGATCTCGTTCTTTCAGTCACTACCCAAAGCTTGTGACCATAGGTAAATTGAGAGCTTTACATTCATGCTCAGCTCTCTCTTCACCACGATGGACCCGCACAGCATCCGTGTCACTGCACCCAGAGCACCAATCTATCTGTCGATCTCCCACTCAATTCTCTCCTTCCTCGTGAACAAGACCCCGAGATACTTAAACTCCCCCTTTGGGGCAGGAATTCATCCCTGACCCGGAGTGGGCATTCCACCCTTTTCCGCCTGAGGACAATGGCCTCAGATTTGGAAGTGCTGCTTCTCATTCCCACTGCTTCACACTCTGCTCCAAACTGCTCTAGTGTGAGCTGGAGGCCATCATCTGATAAAGCCAGCTTAATCACATCATCTTTGAAAAGCAGAGAGGAGATTCTGAGACCACTGAAGCGAGGCCACTTCTACACCTCCTATGGACTTTCTGTCCATAGGAGTTCTGACTTTTTGAAATTGTTTTGTACTTGCAATGTGTTTGTGATTAATCTGCAAAAATTGCAAATCTGTTGACATATGTGGCCAATCTGTTGCTGTCTACGTACACAGAATTTTACATCAAAAAATTTATTTATATTCAGGGTCCAGCCAGAACATCATAAATTTGAAACAGAAATTTCATAGTTCCTCCACAAATGGTGCCACACTGCTGCAGGATGGTGATTTAGCTTCTTCAAAATGACATTGGTGGTCAGCAGCCTTCCTTTTTATGTGGGATATAACCACAATGCAACCATTGACTTGAGTCCTCTATTGCAAAAAGGCTCATCGTAGATGATTTGCACTCACTGGAACAGTGACTCTGATTGATTGCAGTGTAAAGGGGTGTTATGAATTAGATGACATATTGACAAACCTTTACCAAATTGTCTGAGAAGGACTGCAGTTATTTGGAGTATAGTTGCCTTCTGCCAGGTAACTGATGCAATTGCTTTGAAGGTGGTCAGTCAGAGGCTGGGGGGTTACTAACCACCATGTTTTTGTTTTTTGTTTGGTTTTTTTCCCCTCTCTCCTGGTCACAAAGAGTTTGTCACCCTTTTGCTTCTTAATCCAATTCCATTAACAACATCTGAGATTTCTTCATGTTTTTTAGGATTTTTTTTCCTTCTCATTCAGAGATTCTCGTGGCTGTTTGAATGCTGTGAATTTAGGTTTTGGTTGCAAAATGAAACAAGTTCAAATATCAAATGGACCCTTAATTGTTACAACACAGACAAGAAAATTGTTTGTTTTACAGTTTGAAAAGAGAAGTTAACCAAGAACACAAAAAGCTAAACTAAACTAGGTGAAGGCCAGCTGACTATCAGACTGCCACCACCCTTTTATATGCTGAAGTTAGAAAAGGTGAAGGAGTGACTCTGCTTACTAGAATTTTCCAGATGATTGCTTTGGATGTTTTCTATCTTATGCTTCTTGAACTGCATGTAGTAACTGCGTGTTGTTTGGGGGTTTTGTTGTTTGTTGCGGCGCCTACTTTTAATCTGCTTTAGTGGTCATTTTCCTGGAAATTTAGATATTCAACATTTCTTGATCTCTTTTTATCTTCTCTCCTTCCCATTTCTGTTTTCTTCTTCTTTCCGTGGCTTGTCTCTTTACTGCTAGTTACTAATGGCCAAGCTTTCTAGCCTGAAAATCAAAATGGGCCAGATGCAGTATGAGAAACAGAGGAAAGAGCACAAACTCCAGGCGATGAAGGTCGGCTTTTCCCAGGATGACTGTTGTGCTTGCTGTATGATTATGGTTTTTTGACCTCTCCCTTTGGCACCTCTTCTTCTTCTTCTTCTTCTTTTTTAATTTTTGAGGCATAAAACGATTAAATCTGGTTAGATTCTGTTTTCACGCTCAAAAATGTATGTATTTTTGCAAATAATTTACTTAACCACGCATCACTGCATTTTGCTATAATGCATGGTTAAGTCAAGTGCAATCAGAAACACCACTTCCTTAAGTCTGCATTTACTAGGCACCAATTTTAGCAAATGCTAATTTTTAAACCACAAGTATGCTTTAATTCTGGGCTTTTGTTGAGTTGGCAGAGTTCTTCTTTCCTGTCCCTCTCTACAATTGTCCCACTCATTTCCTTTTTTTTTTAATCCACTCTATTATAACATGTACAAGATATATCTCTGTGCTTGACTCCTGCTTTGGTCATTTAAACATGTTGGTGTTTTCTTTTTGGAAATGGCTTGCATATTTAATAATATCCAAACACTTCCAGAGATCAGTGCTTATCACCCTCCTCATACTCGTTACCCTCCTGCAGCCTGTGTGCCATGTCATCCTCTGTGAACCCCTGTATTGTGGTTTGTTTGGACTGGGAGTGGGGGAGGTGGTAAAATCTTCTCACTGTTGTCCCCTGGTGAACAGGAGGAGCTAGCCATACTGAGGCGGCAGCTGGAGGGCAAAGACGGAGAGATGAGGAGACTGCAGGACGAGACGGGCTTCAAGGCCATCGGCTTGAACGGTGCAGAGCCCACAGACAGAGGTGGGGAAACCAGACAGATCACACGCCTCGCTGAAGATCAACATTCCTGATGTTTATTTGGAGCAAGTTTTTACTTTATAATTTTTTGTCCTGTTTAGTCTCTCATCCAGATGAAACTCTTAGAAAGAGGCTGAAAGAAAAACGTAAGGGGGGTTTTTATGTCTGTGATTTTATTATTGCACTCACCTCCACCCCTATTTGCATGAACGAGCATGAGCCATCTGAACTCTGCTTGTCCATTATAACCAGTTCCAGTGCTAGTACCCGACCACAGCGCGCCACACCTCAACTTTTTTTTTTTTAATGGCACGAATCTTGTCACTGATTTTTAATGCCCGGCTACAACAGCAACGAGAACAGTTTGCCTTGTGTTTTTTAGCAGGAATGAAGAATGAACTGTTTGTTGTGACCATTCAGACTGCTTACTCCACCTTCTGACTCATGTCTTCCAACGTTAATCACCTACCTCTCTTCACCAGCAACCTGTGTGTGCGTGTGTGCGCACCCTGCTAACCTGTCCTGCTGTTGTGCTTTTCAGTATCTTTCATGTACAGCTGTCTTAATAAATGTCCACTTTCCCATCAGTTATATATACTATACTCTACATTCATCTGTATAGAACAGTTTCATTTTTCATGCACAGCACACACTCTCCATGATTCTCTATATTGAAGTACAAATTACAAGTGTCCATTTTAAGAATCCTATTGACTAAAGCAAAAACACAAGCTACCTTCATGTCTTGAGCATACCTTTTAAACATTTACAGTGCAGGTGAGGAAAAATAAGCGAGGCCCCCGAGTTTAATAACTAGTCAAACTTTTCTTGGGTAGAAGTAACCTTGAATAAACATTTGTAGCTGTAGACCAGACCAGTGTAATGTTTAACAGGCATGGGTTTTTTTTGACAGTTTATCCTTAGGACTGCTTCTGCTCAGCCAGATTCTCAAAATGTTTCAGTATGAATGAGTTTCTTGAGGTCATTCTGCAGCTTTTCTATTAGGTTCACTCCAGAAGAAGGATTTTCTTTGTAGTCATCCTTGAGTAGATTTATTTCAAAGTTTTGGCCTTTTGTTTCACTGCCAACAATAACAGTTTGAGAGATATAAGCATAATTTGCAGTGTGAACTTAAAAAGAAAAATGAGGAAACTGAACAAGTGGAGGACAAAAAAAGTTCTGTTCATCCATCTGTTTTCTGAAGTATCAGAAATGTTCTAGGTGAAAGGGTGGCTGTGAAGAAAGAAGGGAAACTGGTAGAAAAGGCTGAGGTATGCCAAAATACACAAGCACTGAAAGGGACCGCTAACAGAGTGTGTATCAGTGTGTTGAAAAGTGGAAATGTTTGAGCAAAGGTTAACATGTGAAACACCCGCTCACACCAACACTGTGTGTACGTTTGGTTTCTAAAAAGCAGTGTGGCCGTGATGTTGCTGGACTGACAGCCTGTAATGTTGCATCCTGTATGTTAAATTTTACATATCCTCACATTTTAACACCCTCAGACTTCACACCAGGAACTCTTTCAGTAATCTTTTTCTCCCTCTCTAGATGTGGAAGTCCAGAGGATGAAGAAGGCAGTGGAGTCTTTGATGGCAGCAAATGAAGAAAAGGTACATGTGACCAACTAGGACAGGGGTGTCAAACTCAAATACACAGTGGGCCAAAATTCAAAACTGGAACAAAGTCGCGGGCTAACATTAATATTTATTGAAAAAAAAAAAATCTTCCTCCAGATATAAGAATGAATCTTTTCTTACGGACTCAAACAAGTTTTGCTGAAAAACTGAATATGGAACAAGCAAAGCTTAATATAGCTGTATAATACCAGTAAGCCAGCTCTAATAGTAATTTGGTATGGCTTCGTGGGCCAAATGTGGGCCAAATTTGGTTTGGCCCACAGAGTTTGACACCTATGAACTAGGATTCACCTTGTATCACATCCCAGCTACCCAAAGCTGCTCTGGGGGGGAAAAACTGACCTCATTTTTCTTTTTCTTTACCTTTTCCTTTGCAGGATCGTAAAATTGAAGAACTGAAACAGTCACTGCTGCGGTACAAGAAAGTTCAAGACATGGTGATGTCCGTGCAGGGAAAGAAAGGTTAGACTCAGACTTACAATCTAAAAATTTAAGTATTTTGACAAATTTACATAAAATTTGATTCACAGGATTTAAAAACTGACATTAATGATGTGCTAAAATAATGCATTTTAAGCTTTAGCTGCCACACAGACCCTTCATCTATCCCTGGGTTGCTTGCCTTTTCCCCTTGTTGTTTGTATAGTCTTGTGTGTGAAAACTTTTGACCTACTTCCTACATCTTGTAAACAGGATCATGTGTTAAATAATTTGATTTTATATTTTGGTCCATTACAGAAACAAAGACAAACGATAATGAGCACATTGAGAGTTCTGGTGATGGATGCACCACAGTCCCAGCTAGCTCTCCGTCTGTGGAGTCAGAAAAACAAGAAGGCACAGATGCTGAACAACTGAGAGGGAAAAGCCCAGATGAGGTTTGTGGAGAGGGAGAGGAGATGCTGCAAAGGGCCACGGGTCGGTCTCAAACTTGGTCGGTGCGTCTCAGTCATGTGGCATGCGGTTGCCTGTTCACCCACTAAGCTAAACTGGCACCCATGGTATCACTATTTAAATAGCAGAGAACATGAGATATTTTTAATTTTACTTTTACTGTTTTTCCTCCCCTGGAGCGACTTCACATATCATTAAACTCTAAAGTGCTCAGTAAAACACTCACTCTCACAAAAACTTCACATTAATTTCACTCCTTTGGAAATGAGTGTTGAAGAGCTGGACAACCAATTAGTTGAATAACATCTTTTGTCAGATCTCTGTATGCAGATTTAGACTGTTCTCAGGGACTCTGTAGAGTTTTTAAGTCACAGTTTTATTGCATTTAAATCTTCTTTTGTCTTTCTGACCCCGACTCAGATGGAAAGCCCCAGTAGACTAAGTGAAGAGCCCTCGCCTTCACCCAGCCCGTCTGATCCAGAGAGAGTGTCAGAATCTGAACCGGCAGATGCAGAAAGGTAAAGATTTTATGTGTTATACATGACTTTGTTTTTATTTTAACAATATTTTTAATTTACAAATTAAAAAACAAATAACCGGAGAACACTAGACACCAAAGAACCAAACAAACAGCAAATCCAAACATGGAAAACCACCAATCCTAGTGGAATCTCTTTCATATTCTTCACTGACAAACACAGTGAAATGGTGCTCATTCTGCCTGCATGTGTCTTGTATTTATATTACAATGCTGTAACTTGCCAGGAATTACATATTTTCACATTAAAATCTCAGAGTATTGGAAGCTCTCACTGCAATTTACGCTATAAATAAAGTGTAAATTTACACTGTAAATTGTGGTAAGAGCAGTGAAGCATGCTGTTTAATGTGCGTATATATTTAAATGATCCGGGGCAGTCCATGTGGCGTTGCACCACGTGTTTGACGTGTCACTGAGTGCTTGTTCTCATCTAATTTCCTGTCACACTCCACTGCAAAATGAACACAATGGAGCATTTAATAAGTATAAGACATGGTATTGTGCATTCAAGGAAGGAGAAAGGAGTGTGATTATTGTTAAGGATTGGTCATCTCCTTAGTATTATTTATTTTATTGTGAATGCATGTTTGCATGCTTGTTAGTACAGAAGTATAAAGACATAACATATTAGGATCGACTAAACCATTCACTTGACAGATGCTGCTGTAGTCCTGACACATGTTTTGTCCATTTCCTGCAGATGGTGTGTCGGGAAGTATCTACGTGTGGTTAATAATGTCCTGTAGACTCGCACTGCTAAGTAAAGTATAATGTTTAAAGTGATTTGCGTTGTGCTTTCAGCAGTCAAGAGAACACAAAGACTGTGACTCAGGATCACCTGGATGGGAGCAAAACTGAGCAGGTATGGGCAGAAATGACGTTGGCTAAAAACTGAAGACTGATTCTGTCTATTGTGATTTTTTTTTTTTTTTTTTTTCTCCCCCACTAATTTACCTCAAACTGCTTTTTCCAGCCTTACCCATTTTTTTCCTTTCACATTTGAATTGTCTTTCATTTTAGTTTTTCTGGCATTTAGTATATGGAAGTACAGAATCTGTATACAAGCAATGTTTTTGTACTCTCAGAAGACAAGTGAGGAGATCGGTAGCATCAGTGAAAAGCCACCCATAAATCCTTCAGCCACCTTACCTGCCACCGTAGAGGACGATCCCTTTGGCTCGAGAAAGGCTCGGTCGTCTTTTGGAAAAGGTTTCTTCAAGATCCGCGGAGGCAAGAAGACGACCAGTAGTCCAAGCCTTGGTGAGTGCAAACGGAATGATTTGAGATCATGGAGTTAGTGGAAATGTGCTTTGTTCAGCTTTTAACCCACTACATGGTGAGAGTTTCTTCACATTTTTTCTCCCCCCCAAGACACACCCATGGAGTACACTATGGACCAAGACCATAATTTACAGCCCACAGGCTGTGGTCCCAGTTTAATTATGGAACTGTGTTTCTGGGCTGGTGTTTGTCCTTCGTCCTGTCTATGTGCTTTTTATATTTTTTTTGTGTGTGTGTGTGTGTGTGTGTGTGTGTGTTGTACACTTGTATATCTGCATCCCATCTCCCCAATCCCATTATTATTTCACTCATAATTTCTGGCCTCTTGTTCTTTTCTGTTGGACCCTGTCCTGTGTGTTGTGCTCTTTGTAACACATGAAGACCGCAGCAGGAGTGCGAGTGCGCCTATGCTAGGTACAGTATAGATCACAAGTCACGGTAGAGTTGCACTAGTTGTCCAGAGAAAGCAAACTGCTGAATATTTCTGTCTGCAATTTCTGATCTCATCCATTCACTTCACTGACATCTTTTTTTAGTTTAATAGCTCCAGTACTTTGTCTCTGTTCTTTGTTGCACAAACTTCTGTACCTGTGTATGTTGAGTGTGCTGTAGTGTACGTAGATTTTGCCATGTTCCTGCATGTTTTTGCCTACACTCCTTTGTTTCTTTTAAAGCTTTCCCCGAGCACAAAGCTGTGCTGAGATCCAGATTATTCGATAAAATAATTTAAACGGCTCTCAAAGACCTTCCAACTAAATCTAAAACAAAGTAACAATCCTTTTCTCAGGCAGTGAACAGTGTCTGCATGCATGCCATTCTAGAGAGCGTATCGCTTTGCTCACAGTGACCTCTCCGGAGTCCTCATGTGCCTGTCTCAGTGTATTCTGGCTCTTTGCACTGACCCTGTGCAGCAGCTCTGTCTGCCTTATCCTCATGATGCTGATGCTGATCTGCTGGCATTTGTTTGCACAGCTGAAACAGAACGACAGGGTACGGACCATCTCGATCTGGCAGGGCTGCCACAGAGGTCGAATAACAGTGACAGCACACACACGCTCCCCACTACTCCAGAAAGCAGAAAAAAATCCAAAGGAATAAAAAAGCTCTTTGGGAAGTGAGTAGAAAACCTGTAAACATCCTCCCTCTGAGTGTTCTTTTTTTAAGTATTTAACTTTAATGTCTTATTGTTCAGGTTAAAAAGGAGCCAGTCTACCACATTTAACTTGGATGACAATCTACCAGAGGGTGAGTTCAAGCGAGGAGGAGTGCGTGCCACAGCAGGACCCAGACTGGGTTGGTCTCGTGATCTTCAAAGGGTCAACAAGTGAGTCAGTGCATTCAGCATGAATAATGAAAGTCACAATGTGGTTTCCTTGTTTTGAATCTGTGTTGTACAGTGAATGTAGTGTTTGTTTGAATAATAAAGATGTAACAAGTGCATGTACTACAACTGATCTACGTCCACAGGGGCGTGTCTGCATGCCTATTTCATTGTTGACTCTTCTCTTTTCTTGTGTAGTGACGTAGACGCTCCCTTTGCACGCTGGCCGAAGGATCAGGTGTGCGACTGGCTGCAGGAGCAGGGTCTTGGTCTTTATGTAAACATGGCTCGCGCGTGGATCTCCTCTGGACAGACGCTGCTACAGGCCTCGCAGCTGGACCTGGAGAGGGTGCGATGAAGCAGAAGAATTTAATAAGTTTACCAACACTGGAAGAAAAGCAAAGTATTCCTGCCCTCAACTTCCTGTGTAGTAACTGGGGAATGTTGTATGTTTAATCCAAACTTGTGGATGTTTAGGAGCTGGGCATCAAACACCCGCTGCACAGAAAGAAGCTCCAGCTGGCTCTTCAGGCCCTCGGCTCAGAGGAGGAGGACAATAAGGGAAAGCTGGACTACAACTGGGTGACAAGTAAGTACCAGCTGCTAGTTGAAGATATGAGTCGGTTGGTCAGTTTTTTATGTTTGTGATGTTTTACTTGATGTTCTACTCGAGTTAATAATTGATGTAATTCTCTCTGCCTCTTCTCAGGATGGCTGGATGACATCGGCCTGCCTCAGTATAAGACCCAGTTTGATGAGGGAAGAGTGGACGGTCGCATGCTGCACTACATGACTGTGGTGAGTGCCGATAGGAGACATTCACTCCCCTCACAGACCCTGTGGATAAGCTGGGCTGATGACTCTAGTGTCACCTCATGTTAGTGTTACTGCACAGAGCTCCAGTGGTGATGGAAGCCTCACTACAAAGCAAGTTTAATAAACCAGGAATATGTTTTTATTAGGAGGATTAAAGAAGTCTAATTTATTTTACATAGACCCTGAGCACTTACACCAGTGGATGGAGAGGTCAATAGCAACAATACTTCTTTGCATACATACATTTCTTTTCATATCACGTTATGGAAAAAAAGACCAAGAGAATTTCTCTTCCAACTCTTCTGTTTTGCCTCACAGCGGACTAAACCCTCCTTACGTTCACAAACAACAGCTCGTTTCACAACATTTAACAGCCAAATAATTAAAAGCTTGAAAAGGAAAAATGTCCATACAAAATGTAGTCAACTTCTGAAAAGAACAGTGCAGACGCAAACTAAAAATGTTTGGTTTGTGCATTTTCTCACTTGGCCCTCATGGTGCTCCCTCAAGGTAAGTAAGCTTTAATACTCATTCTTAAATGTACCCTCTTCTTATGGCACAATTTTAGTCTCACTCTTTAATCCTGGTGTTGAAAAAAGCGTAATCTTTGCCATTGGTAAGTCAAAAATTCAAGTTAACAACTTCAAATTTCAAGTTAGTTTCTCAATTTTCAGTTATTTTCTCAGAAGTTTGAGGAGCTTCCATAACCTTGGCCTTAAGTAAAGAACATTTACAGCAAATAGCGCCTCAGTGCTCTGGGAAAGGTAGTAAGACCCCCTTTACAGTGTGTTAACTGAACTTCATGGCATCTATTTTAATTATTCTCCCAGAGAACTGATTGGTTGGTATGCTCTGCTCTTAGAAAGCGCTGATCTGTTATTTCAAACAATGTTTCACAGGAACAGGTAAGATGTGCAGCATGAGTTAGCTCTGATGTATCAGTCAGAAGTGACCTGGCATGATAAAAATAAAGTTTCCTCTCTAATCCCAGATTCACCCTCTCAGGTATTTGTATTTCAGCACTGGCTCTCTGATCCTCTTTAAGCTCTGATGTCTTGTGTTTTTAAGGATAACAATCACAGTTTAGTCAATCTTAGAGCAAATCACTGATATCTTTTTTTGTCCAACAGGATGACCTGCTTTCCCTGAAGGTGGGCAGCGTTCTGCATCACCTCAGCATCAAGAGAGCTATTCAAGTCCTCCGACTCAACAACTATGAGCCTAACTGCCTCCGTCGCCGGCCGTCAGACGAGGTGTGCTCGCTTTAACAGCCTGTTCTGCTGCTCGGCCCACTGACTTTACATACTCATAGCTATGTGTGAACACACTGTGCTTGTGGTTTGTACTTTGTGTCTGTAGAACAACATTTCACCGGCAGAGATTTCCCAGTGGACCAACCACAGGGTGATGGAGTGGCTGAGGTCTGTGGATCTCGCTGAATATGCTCCCAACCTGAGAGGCAGCGGCGTCCATGGGGGCCTGATGGTGAGAGAGTTAGTTGCTAATTTCCCTGGAAGAGCAGACGCTGTCCTGGGTTGTGTCCGCTCCTAATACACCAAATTCCCGCTCAGGTTCTGGAGCCACGGTTCAATGTGGAGACGATGGCTTTGCTGCTGAACATCCCCCCCAACAAGACTCTGCTGCGGCGCCACCTTGCCACACATTTCAACCTGCTCATTGGTTCAGAGGCCCAGCAGCTCAAACAGGAGTGTCTCGAAAACCCAGACTACACTTTGCTTACTGCAACCACTAAGGTCAAGGTAAAGCACGAGTTCCCACAGACAGACCGTCCTCTCTTACTACAAGTACTACAATTACTTCTCCGAGTACTTACAAGGAAAATATGTTGGAAATGCTTTTTCCTGTGTATTCTCTTTAAATGGGTAACAAGTTGAGAGATTTGATTTGACAAAGTGGTATTAAAGTTTAGTTTCTCATGGAAATTAAATGTGCCTACACATTAATTTAAAGGAATTTTAAGTCACTAAAACTGGCATCAAAACCTTGTAACCATAAAATCATTGCCAGAAAATTCAACAAAGTTTTTGTTTGTTTTGTTTAAATCTTGTGATATCAGTTTATATCAGTTTGCATATGATTTTTAGTTCGTATCCTTTTTGCTCCATCTGGCATTTTTGTGCAACATATTACTTAAAATTTTATTGTGCAATTTATTCCAGGAGGAAAAATGACACTGATGATGCAGAGGTCTCAAAAACTCACTGATCAAATATGATGACCTTTTTGTGTTTTTTCTAAATCAGAGGTTGGTATGTGTGCGTTCCTGTGCGAATGTATGTAGTACTTACCTGTCCTCTCTCTGGTTCACACTAGCCAAAGAAACTATCATTCGGTAATTTTGGCAGTCTGAGGAAGAAAAAGCAGGAAGAGAACGAGGAGTATGTGTGTCCGATGGACGTGGAGATGCCAAAGGGTCGGAGCTTCCAAAAAGGCTTCGAGCTCCAAATCTATGAAGATGACCTCGACCGGCTAGAACAGGTGAGCATATTCTTCAGCATTCATTAATGATTTGCTTAATTTAAAAAAAAAAAAGTCATATTAAATTTGTGCTCTATTGCTTTCTGCTCACAGATGGAGGACTCTGAGGGAACCGTGAGACAGATTGGTGCTTTCTCTGAGGGCATTCAGAATCTGACGGTGAGAACCAGGAACAATTACTCACTGATTATTGTTTCCACGGCTTCTGATAGTAAACTTAATGCTTTTCTCTCATTTACCAGAGCATGCTGAAAGACGACGAACTCTTCAAAGAGATCTCCAATTCTCCGAACCCCAGCGTAACCGACGACGACTCCAACGCATGAGGCTGTCAGCATCAGACCTGATCCTGCTGTGAATGAAACTCTGTGCCAACCCTCTCCACTTGCACACACACGTCTCAACAAAAAAACAAGAATGCTCCCACATTTTCCTCATTTTTAGTGTTACATTCAAAGAAGAGCCAAAAGTATTAGCGTCGTGTCTTTCTAGTTGATTTTTAAATGTTGAAGCCTTCGGTCCAGAGGCCACTTTCACTCCTGAACTTAGTCTTCATTACTCCCGACTGATGTCAGAGGGAACATGTAGGATAACACCACTGTTTGCCTGCCAGCTGGTTTCTGGAGATATTATTTCTGTGTTCTATTCGGGTACCTTCCTGTTTTAACTGAAGTGAAAACCAGCAAAAAATAAAAAACATCTAGAAAATGCCTATATAGATTTAATATATGACTTTTAAATTGCCTTTTGACTGTGGCAATGCTAGAAGAAAGAGTTGGACTAGAAGTGATGTGTTGAGACTGTTTCCATTTTGAAGTTATAAAGAAAAAAACCCTCAAACAGCTGCTATGTTTTCTACACAACTGAACCCTGCTAAAGAAATGAGAACAGTCTTTAAATATTATTCTGTCACTTATACATTTACAAATGTGCATATACAGTATAAAGCAAGAATCTCGCTGCATGTTTTGAAACTGCAACACAGTCATATAAGAACTCATCATTGTTTTTACCAAAAAAGGATTTTTAATGGAAACCTGCAGTTATTTCTGGGGAAATGTTGTGCTGCAAGGAAACGTCTGGTTTTCTCAAAGCGATAATGCCCTCTGCAGCTCTCCACCTTCCCTGAAAAGATGTCCTTTTTGTACACTTATGCAATTAATAAATCAATAAAGTAATTTAAATATGTTTGTTTTCTTTGAAGAAATTAAATCCACACCTGTCACAATGTCAGATTTTTTTCAAGCGTCGGGGACGCAAGAACTCTCTAATGTTGGTCGATAATGTTGACCGATAATTGGAGATGACAAAATGTGCTCTACACAACTCAGAATCAGAAAGGGTTTTATTGCCAAATGTTGAGCAGGTTTACAACATTAGGAAATTGCTGCTCTGTAATCAGGATTTCTGTGTTTTGTTCAACAATTAAATCCTCCACAAAGACTTTTATTTATTGAGCCTCAATTCTATTGTCACAAAGAGACGGAGAATGGTTGTTCCCCTTTAGCACTCGGTTCTGGAGTTTACCCTTTACAGCATCCAGGCCTGACATTAATTGTTTATCGCTGTGAGGTGGCACAGAATCTGAATGCTGCTGAGTTTAGATGTGTGAACTGCTGTGGCGCTAAATGACAGAACACTCACTAAACTTATGAGATGTGTCTTCTGTGTGTAATCGAGAACTCGAAGTCTCGAACTCTCTTTTATTTCTGCTTCTTTTTTTCAGTCTTTCTCAGATTTATTTCTTTTGTCTAGTCTGTCTGGCTCTCCTCTCATTTCTTCCTGTCATGTCTCCACACGTTCATACATGCACAGTACAGCCTTTCTACAGTTCTGCACAAAAGTCTGTGTTCAGTGGTGAGATGCACCCATCGGCCCCTGCTGACACCTCTGTACTGGTGATATACATCACACCACTACAATGTAACCTACTATAATAATGCTGTTGACATGTGGTCACTCTACAGGACATGCTGACATAGTTAACAAATATGCATGCTCCTGCTCTGAGGTAAACCAGGACAGCTACATTTTTCCATAAAGCTAAATTTAATCTAGGCCGTTAACTTTTAATATTAGCATCTTGGTGAATTTTAAAGCACAGAGGCTTTCATTTCTGAGAAAACATTTTCTGCTGTTTGACAGCTCAGTACACCCCCCTTGTGTTCAAGTCACAGACCACTGCCTTTCCCCAGATTTACATTTCACCTTACATTTGCACAGCCTACTTTACCTACTCATTGAATAATGAGTCTACCCTTCTCTTATCCCCCTTTACACTGAAACAATACATGAAAAACCTTTCACTGAGACTCTGGATAGGACTTTTGTGAAATTGAATCATGTGTGTGATGGTTTATAAGCTAAGTTGTATAAAAAATAAAAATTAAAACCACCTGAAGCTGCATCGCTGTATCACTTCTTTAGTAAAAGTTCATGCAAAACTATAGAGAGAGGCTGTGCCCTGAAACGAGGCGCCATCTGGTGGTTAAAAGTGGGTCTCAGTCTCAGAAAGGCCCCTGCAAGATTGGGTGGAGGCTGGACCTTTAGACAGACAGGCTGTGTGTGAGTCCTCTGCTGCAGTCCAGGCTGAAACAGTGGACACTTTCATTTGGCGTCATGTCTGCGAGGTTTGTATTTTTATTTACTGACTGAAGATTTGTTTGTTTACGTTGTTGCACAGGCAGCTGAATACAGGTCAGAACTTTGCTGCTTTTCCCATGTATAAAATATGTTTTCACATCTGTTATGTGCAGGTTGTTCTGTGGATTTCTGCTCCTTGCAGTGTTCCTCAGTGGACTGAATGGATCAAGGTACAGTGGTATAAACCAAACTCTGCTGATGTTTCCTCTATTTGCGTGTGCATCTGCCAGATGTTTGCATAGCCTGTCTGACACTTTCTATAACAGACCAGCTGTAAACCAGGAGCTCTCCACTATTTTCAATGAGCTGTGGAGTTTGGATGTGAATCGCATGACACCTGTGATAGACTACACGATCTCTATTCAGGTGAGAAATCTTTTCTAGTTTATTTAGCGCCTGCTATGTAGTGATGGGTCGTTCGCGAACGAAATGGCTCTTAGAGCCGGCTCTTTGACGTGAACGACGCGAGCCGGCTCCTTATCGCGAGCCGTCACGTGGGGTTTTTTTTTTCTTTCTCTCAGCCTCTCTCTCGCACTTTTTTTCCGTTTCACTCTGCACGCGAGCCTTGTGCTTTACGCTGGGCAGAGGGGGGAGGGGCGGTAGTTACACTCAGTAGCACAGGAACAGAGCCAGAGAGAGAGAAAGAGAGGCAGGGACAACAACATTAGAAAGGTATAGTAATCATCCACAACTATTTTCGGTTGCAGATGATAAAGGATTGAGAAAGTTTATTCATGCAGGTCCATATGACAGAGAATATGCATGTTCTTTTAGTTTTCATATTATAATTTATATTTAATTGTGTTGTGGTTTGCAGTGTTTTGTGTTCTTTTCACTTTAAATTTGTGAAAGGAAAAAGCTGAAAATTTAAATAGTTAAAACTTGAAATGTGAATAGTTGATTTTTGTATTATATGATTTATTTATTACATTTTATGTGGAGTGAATAAATAAAAGTATATTTACGGTGGCCCCTAGAGACAAAGCACATACAAACTTCAAATCACGTACGAACTCTGAAGCATGTACAAACTCCAAAACACGTACAAACTCCAAAACACGTAAAAACTCCAAAACACGTAAAAACACGTACAAACTCCGAAGCACGTAAAAACTCAGAAGCATATAAAAACTCAGAAGCACATAAAAACTCAAAACACGTACAAAAGACAACAGAAGTGCTCCAGGATGCTGGGCGCAGTGTTGAGCCTTTGTTATCTTGTGGCTACACAAGCCAGCAAGTACCAACGACCGGATTTGGTGTGTGGTAATAACAGGTAAATGAACTTTTTTTTAAATTATTTGAATATATATATGAGTGCCTGTGTATAAATACACAAACAATACACACATGCTTTCAATTGTGTAATTTAAGTGATCTAGTAGCTCTGCTTTGGAAGTTCAGTTAATGCTAGAAATGTGTTTTGGAGTTTGTACGTGTTTTGTCTCTAGGGGCCACCGCATATATTTATATATAAACATATATAAATAAAACCACTTGTTTTTACGTTAGTAATTCCTTTTGTGCATAATTTTATATTATTGTTAATAATAAATTAATTAAAGCAACAAAACAACCTGAAGAGCCGGTTCGGAGCCGAAAGAGCCGGCTCTTTTTAGTGAGCCGAACCGAAAGAGCCGGATCTTTAAAAAGAGCCGGAAATCCCATCACTACTGCTATGTCTTGTGTTTGTACAAAGAAGTGTTCTGTGTTTGAATTGCCTAGGGTAGAGCAAGCTTTGTAAGTCAGGGCATCCACACGGTGCAGGATCAAGCCTCGCAGCCGCTCTTCTCCAACGTTAATGAGAGCAAACTGAGAAATATAACCACTTTCTCTAGTAAGTGTGTAGTTGTGAGCACTCTGAGCTTAAACATTCAGATCGTGTTTGCAGTCATCACTGTAATAAATGGGATTTGTGGGCTCACAGGCTTTATGACACTGCTGGACAACTATGAGCGGTCTACTGGCGTGACGGAACAAGTCACCACAGAGGAGCTCACAGAGATGGATCTCTTCTTGGACGCCGTCTTAGAGACAAAAGTCATGAAGGTATGCGTCACAACAAGCTCTGTCGAGCAGAAAGTTTACATTTGAGCACTTCAGTTACTCCATTCTGTTGGAGAAACCTGGTAGTTTCAGTCTGAATGTCTCCTCACAGCAACAAGACAATTGTTTTTGGTATTGCACAACTTTCTATTGTTTCCTACAGTTCATGGTTTTGAGGCTGCAGCTGAACTCTAGAAGGAGTTTTATGTTCTTCCTGTTGCACTGCTGCTCTGCACACATTACTTCAAGACATTACAGAGGCAAAATAACATCTGTGTGCAGCTGTGGAATGTCGCTCTGGCCTCAGCGGTCTCCCAGAAGGGGATCACTGCAGGAATGTGGACATGATGTACTTTTTGTAGGTGGAAGAAACCCCACGCTTTTCAGTGATCTCAGCGGGGGGACATGAGACAAATTCCTCACAATAACCCCTCCAACAGCGGAGATGCTGTGCTTTTCTCTTCAGAAATAGCACAGCATCTCCTCCTCTCCTCTGGGCACACTCAGGTTTGCAACCATGAAGAAGCCAGAAAGGAAATGGAGGAGGATGTCAGATATTAGAGGATTTCTTTTCACAAAGTTTAAATGAGAAATCAAAAAAAAGAATCTTTAATAACACAGCTAAAGTGAGATTCTGCAACACTATAATTTAATATGCATTTCTTTGGTAAGAAGTATGTGTGTTTCTGTTCTTAAATTGATCATCACCAGCCTGGACTCCAGTGGATTTGAACATGTGTTTGTTGGCGAGACAAAATCAGGAACAGAAATCATTGGTTTTCACAACTGGGTCCAGTTCTACCTGCAAGAGAAAAACCAACACTTGGACTACAAAGGATATAAAGCCAGGGAGCATGATTTGGTAAGAATAACAGTTCACCAGACAGAAGAGATTCATTTCCTTCGCTGGTAACATAAACATTCATGCTTTTGTCACAGCCTGATCAAGATGACCACGTTCTCAACCTCCAGTTCAGCTGGCACGGTGTGGTGAAGCCCGTTGGCAGCGCCTTCATCGGCACCAGCCCCGAGTTTGAGATGGCCGTCTTCCTCATGAACACGGAGAGAAGCACCACAGTTGTAGTCAACATTGACCAGTGTCAGATGGAGCTGGTGGTGATCAGACACGGGCGCTCACTCGGGACGGCGTACCCCAAACTGCTCAGCAGCAACAGCAGACATGTCAGGCAGCACGCGCACTGATGTGATCCATCATTTTATTCACTTCTGATAAAAACTAATCTTTGTTCAGCAATACGTGGCCTCATTGATAAGGAACTGACCTGCCTAATGTACTGCAAAGGACATTTACATGTATTTCAAGATCACTGTGACCTCAGTAGCTTTAAATAAAATGTTATTTTGGAGTTCAACATTTTTATTTTGCACAGGTTTTTTTTTTTTTTTAGAAAACAAGTCTTTCAAGGCATTTACATTTATTCAATGTAATATATATAGAACTGTGGCATGACCCTTGTGGGGACAGTAAAAGCGAACAAAAGCGAGATCCCGCAAGTGATGAAAAGTAAAGAAAATCATGTGTCCTTCCTCCCTGATGAGGCTTCAAAAAAGAAGGTTGTCCTGCTCCTGTCATCCATGCACATACAACCAAGCATAGGACCCACTGAAAACCTGAAATTATTGGATTTTAAAACCAAGCAAAGGTGGTGTTGATACTTTTAACCAGATGTGCACTCATATGGCTGTGGAAGAAAAAACAAGAAATGGCCCCTTTGCGTCTTCTATGGCATGATCATTGTTGGTGTGAACTCGTGGATCATTCACAATAAGAATGCAGTGAACAGAGGTGACAACCAAATGCAGAGGAGGCATTATATGCAGGCTTTGGCACCGGCACTTATCAAACCATTGGCAGAGGCTTATGGCGTTATTTTTGTGCCACTATTCTGAGCGCACGTAAAAAAGGTTTGCAGGTGCAAGTGTTGCATTTTGAGGAGAAATTTATTTTGAGCGAAGAAAAGCTGAATTTGAGTGAACAAAATTCATTGCTGCATGCAAAAAATGTATATCCGTGTTTGCTATTATCCATATACACACGCACAATAGCAGCCCCTCTCGCTCAGTTTTTGTATTTGCGCTCGCAATGTGTCGCTCACGCTCTCAACATTTCTGCCCGTGCACGCTCAACTCTTTCTGTACACCGTTATATTTGTGCCACAAAACCAGCCAATCACAGACTTGGATGCAAAAAAATCTGATTGGCTGTTTTTGTCTCCAATCAGCTCGAAAGGACGAAATGCAATATCCCAGAATCCATTTCGTCCAAAGCTCAAACGAGGCAGTGGCGGAGGAACACAGAGTGGCGGAGTTTGAAATATTACTCTTTCTGGGACACAAAATAAACTTTTAAGATATTTTCATGTTAGAATGTAGCTGTGTGAACTTCAAATATCTGCTCGATTTATCAAGACATCACATATTTGCATAAGTGCTCCAACGTTTTCGGAGATGCCTGTTACCCACCAGCTGACCGGGTGGGAACTCGGGTTAAACATAATATATAAGGCTGAACTGACAAAAAAATCACCGACTACACCACCAGGTATTATTGGAAAAACCATAAAGCCTTTGAACGAAAACAAACGCTGTTGTGACAGTGATGTACACTGTTTTGTTGGTATATATGTATGATTTGTATCACCTTCATGTTTCCAGCTTTACAGCTGTGGCTCCAGCAAACATCAGCTGATACTAGAAATTAATTTTAAATAAATTCTAACAACAGCTGATCAATTTTGAACGTGCTGCTGTTGTTGTTTAGCGCAACATCCGCTGGTTTCCTGTTTCTGGCGCAAAGTGGGAGATAAACAAACAAGAGAGACGATCAGCTGATCATTGATCAGTTTCATGATTGAAGTAGCAACAGGAGAGGGAGGGAGAATGAGGAGAGAAGAGGCAGCTAAGACACAGAATAACTCCAGCTTTGTGTCTTTTTTATTCTCGCTGAAGTCTTTTCCCCTCAATACGGATGTATTGTAATTGGTCCAGCCCAGAGTTGATTATTACCAGCTGGCTAATCCACCACCTTTCATTGTTTATACCATTACAAAAACAAACAAACTAACATAAAAATGAAAAATCACCATTGGCCCACCGGGCAAATGCCGGGTAAATGCCCAATGGCCAGTCCAGGTATTCGGTCAGCTGGTGGGTAACAGGCATCTCCAAAAACGTTAGAGCACTTATGCAAATATGTGATGTCTTGATAAATCGAGCAGATATTAGAAGTTTACACAGCACCATTCTCGCATGAAAATATCTTAAAAGTTTATTTTGTGACCCACAAAGAGTAATATTTCAAACTCTGCCACTCTGTGTTCCTCCGCCACTGCCTCGTTTGAGTTTTGGACGAAATGGATTCTGGGATATTGCATTTCGTCATTTCGAGCTGGTTGGAGACGAAAACAGCCAATCAGATTTTTTTTTGCATCCAAGTCTGTGATTGGCTGGTTTTGTGGCACAAATATAACGGTGTACAGAACGAGTTGAGCGCGCACGGGCTGAAATGTTGAGAGCGCGAGCGACACATTGCGAGCGAGCGCAAGTGCAAAAACTGAGCGAGAGGAGCTGCTATTGTGTGTGTGGATAATAGCAAACACTGAAATACATTTTTTGCACGCAGCAATGAATTTTGTTCACTCAAATTCAGCTTTTCTTCGCTCAAAATAAATTTCTCCTCAAAATGCAACACTTGCACCTGCAAATTTTTTTTACGTGCGCTCAGAATAGTGGCACAAAAATAACGCCATAGAGGCTTCCCTCTTCAAATCTGACACGTCAACTCACAGTCCTGATCTGTAGCATCCTCGACATCCCTACCCTTGTCACTCTTGCAGGTAAGGCAGGACCAGCAGTAGAAGAAAGTAGTATTCCCTTAGTGAGGTGTGCTGACTGCCCCGCAGGCTTGGACAGGAAGTGTGTCCATGCCATTATTACCCTGCGTGTACTGACAGCATGTAAGGAATGGCTAAGTAAGAGTGGTCCTAGAATTTGCATGTTATCCTTATTTAGGGCAGTGCTTATGGATAAATATCACAAAGTGGTGATTACCAGGGGAATTCATAGGGTGAAGAAAATATTTTAGTCAATTGATCATTTTCACCCACTCAAAAATGCCATTTCTTGTTTCTCTCTCCTGCAGCTGTTCGCATGTAGAACAGCTGTGCCTTCACCAGGGAAGTCTCAAATGTCCCTGGAAGGGCAGGTCAAACCCCAACTTTCCAGTGTCATTATTTTTTGTTTAGGAATTTTTTATTCTCATATTCCTAATTTTTCAGTAACTTTGGAGCATTTCTTTAGGGTCCCCCCATGACATTTGTTTTGTTAGACATGTTGAAAATACCACAGTTGAAAACAAAAGAAGACCACTCTAATTTTTTGTCATAATTTGATATATTTCTGATGTTAGTGATGGTGTTACTCTTTATAGTGACAGTGTTCTAGGGTTAAACATGACAGTGAGTTCAGCACACCGTTACTGTATACCCATTCGTTTCTCCCATACTTGAAACACATTTTAATCAAGAAGCATTAAAATTTATCAGAGTGTGTAAGGGCTGGTGTGTTCTGTTACCTTCAGGAGGGCAACAACTTCCATTTTTCCAGTTAAAAAGGGAAAACAAACAAATAAACAGCAAGTTTGTTTTTATTCATAAATCATGGAAAACTATTTGCACTGGGTGCATGTTTATGCACGGTCTCCAAATTGAACACTAGAAAAAACAATATGTCAGAAATGACAAACTGGGACAGCACGTTCCCCTTCACTCTGCAACTCTCTGTAAGCGAACAGCCTGCACACCTTTACAATGTTTTCTTTTTCCTTATTGGAGTTATTTCTGAACCAGCTGCCTAATCCAGATCTTATTTCACCTAACTTCATATTTACTCTATCTCTCTATCGCTCTCCTGTTTTCTTTAATGAACTGCTTTGATGAAATTTTCAATTCCATTTTTTTTATATAGTGACAAATTACAACCTTTGACTTTGGAGGGTTGTACTTGGCCTGCTACGCTGGATGTAAGAAGCTCTTCTCTCAACTGATCAACATTCCCAAGGCCACAAGGTGGTCTAGTACTTTGGCTGTTGCCTTTTCTGTGTACTGAAATGAGGGGATGCAGATAAATGCAATTGCTGTCGGACTATCCAGTCTTTGAGTGATGACGTGATGAATCCTGTTTCTGGGCCCAAAGTGGTCTGCATTTAATAAAGCTGATGTGTTTTTATCATGTTTTAATGCTTTCTATCTTGTTCTATTTAATCTCAACAAGCCTCTAAAACAGTCAGTGATCACTGTTGGCTTCTCTCAGTTTTTATTAGGCTACTACTAATCATTTTAAAGCTCAGTTTTTAAACCCTTAAGATGTAACTACAGCCCAGCCCATGCAGCAGTATATTAATGACTAACTTCGTATTGTGGATGGATTATCTCAGTGGTTTTCCTGTTTGGTCCATTTACAGCATCCTGCCATGGGATTGCATTTGCCCCTAATCATTGGGAACCCTCACATTAACTTTTATCGAGTGGGAAAAAAGGTTTCCGTTCGTTAGCGTTCCTCCTCCAGCTTTACTGTTTATGTTATGTTAATATAGCTTTGTTGCGCTAGCGATAACGTAGCACATCATTATATACCAGCTAGCCCAACCTCAGTAGCCCTACAAATGTCGCTGCTGTTTAGTTTTCTGTCTTCATTTATGTTGGAAGTGATAGCAGAGCTGTACGTTTTAATTTGTTTCATAAATTGCTCAGTCAGAACATGGTATATTATATTTAGATGGCCGCTAGCGAGCTAACTCCCTGCTAACTTCTAACTCCGTTAAATATCATAAATTGTGTTTTCATGGATGTCTGGATGTTAAACTTAATTGTTACACCTGGTAGAACAGCCACACTGATCATTTTATTACAGATGAGAGAATTTAGACAGTTTCTAACTCTCAGTAATGCTGCAGTGATCATTTGACTAAGGGACTTGCAGCGGAGTTTGGGCCCAGACATGGGCAATGACGTCAGACTTAAAGACCGGATAGGAAAACCCGGACATTTTTATCAATCTCAAAAATCACCCCAGACGCTTTGGATGGAACGTGAAAAGTGGACATGTCCGGGGAAAAGAGGACGGTTGGTCACCCTAATCAACTTACCTATGTCACTATACTTAAATATGTAGTATTCTAATACCTGGGAATACCTTAAACCTAGCTGTGGGCTGCACAGGGTTCTCAGGGAGAGCAATATTGAGAGACCAACAAAAGCACCACAAGAGAATAAGAAAACAATCCATAATGCAAAAACACACCAAACATAACAACTCAAAATACTGGCTCAAACTGACCCAGAACCGTGACAG